AAATTTACAAAATGCAGGGATATTTATAACTACTTAATAAACAAATAAAACTTTTGGGGCGGTGAGGTGGCGCAGTGGGTAGCACTGTCACCTCACAGCAAGAAGGTTGCTGGTTCAAGCCTCAGCTGGGTCAGTTGGCATTTCTGTGTGGAGTTTGCATGTTCTCCCTGTGTTGACAAGGATTTCCTCCGGGTGCACCGGTTTCCCCCACAAGCCTAAAGACATGCGCTATAGGTGAATCGGGTAAGCTAAATTGTCCGTAGTGATTGTGAATGTGAGTGTATGGGTGTTTCCAGGTGATGGGTTGCAGTTGGAAGGGCATCCGCTGCAAAAAACATATGCAGTTTAAGTTGCCGGCTCATGCCAGGGTGGTGACCCCTGATTAATGAAAGGGACTAAACTAAAAAAAGCAAATGAATGAATGATGAATAAATAAAACTTTATAATATACACACTTTTCAACTGCTTGTTATTGCAAATATCCAATTAGCCAATCACTAGGCAGGAACTTAATGCATTTAGCCATGTAAATGTGATCCAGATGATCTGCTGAATTTAAATCGAGCATCAGATTGGGCAAGAAAGGTAATTCAAAGGAGTTAGTCACCAATGGCTTCCATTGTAGTCAACAAATGTTAGGATCCCAACATTTATCTAAATATTTTCATTTGTGTTTAACAGAAGTAAGAAACTCAGAAGTTTGGATCTAGTGGTGTTTAAGTAAATGATGACAGAATTTTCGCTACTTTTGCCAAGCAACCATTTAACTTTTTATTTTTAAACACAGTTGTTTGTGCCAGAAGGGCCGGTCTGAGTATTTCATAAACTGCTGATCTACTGGGATTTTTGCCCACAACAATCTCTGGGGTTTATAAAGGATTGTCTGAAAAGAAGAAGAAGAAAAAAGAGTGAATGACAGCTTTGGGAGTGAAAGAGTTTTACCCGTCTGCTTTAAGCTGAGACATTTACATACATTATCTTTTAGGTTGTTGTGTTTACATTCGCCATTTTCATTTGGAATAGCTGGTCCTAATTCATGCATGACTTTTTTCCGTTCCATATGCTAAAGACTGAAAAAAAATATTGCTCTATGTTCAATCCACTTAAATTAATAAAAACTGATGAGTTAACTTGGTGACACGGTGGTGCAGTAAATAGCACTGTCACCTCACAGCAAGAATAGCAGCAAGAATAGCACTGTCACTGGTTTAGGTTCCGGCCAGGTCAGTTGGCATTTCAGTGTGGAGTTTGTATGTTTTCCCAGTGTTTGCGTTAGTTCCTCTGGCTGCTCTGGTTTCCCCCACAGTCTTAAGACATGCTCTATAGGTGAATTGAGTAAGCAAAATTGGCCATAGTGCATGTGTGTGAATAAGTGTGTATGGATGTTTCCCAGTGCTGGGTTGCAGCTAAAAAAATGAAGTTTGAGCACTGATGTAACATTGATTCATCCTGTATGTCACTGATGACCTTGTGGGTATTACAAACTAAATAAAAAGAGAACTCACTCTGTTTCTGGTTCTCACTCTCTGCAGAAACTGTTGTTGATGTATGACTGTGTGACCTTCTTTGCAAAAAATAAAACTTTAAAAGACACTTTGGGTAAGAATTTGTCTTCTTGACCACTGAGAGAGCCTCCTTAAAGAAAATTGACACTACAAAGGGCATCTGCTCCGTAATAGCATATGCTGGATAAGTTTTCGGTTCATTCCACTGTGGCGAACCCAGATTAATAAAGGGACTAAGCCGAAAAAAAAATGAATGAATGTTTAAGTTAACTTAATTTCTTCATGTTGTCCCAACACCAGGGGTGTCCAAACTCGGTCCTGAAGGGCCAGTGTCCTACACAGTTTAGCTCCAACTTCCTTCAATGCACCTAGAAAGAGCTTGATTAGCTGGTTCAGGTAGGTTTAATTGGGGTTGGAACTGAAATATGCAGGACACCGGCCCTCCAGAGCCAAGTTTGGACACTCTTATTTATTGTAAAGGGTTTCTCTCAATCAAGTTACAGCGTAGATTTGTAGACATCGTAATGTTGGAAGTTAACGTTATGCTATAAAGAAATGACAGGCATGGGAAACTGAGGTTTTCGGTGGCTGCACTAGAATCTCATTCATATTCCCCATTCAACAGTTGAGGCCCTGACATTAAAGTGAATTTAAAAATGTTTTTCAGAATTTGTTGAAGACAAGAATTTGTTGTTGTAGTTTAGGTCAACTTTGACAAAAAGTTTTCCAAGATCCACATCAAATGTCAACTACAGTATAACACAGCAAGGAAGCTGGTTGTATTCCTGGAATAAAGTGATCCAGATGAAAACTAAACTTTTGCGTAAGTTGCAGTTCGCTGATCATTTACACTTTTGTGTGGACTAACGTGATGTTTGACGTGTGCATGTAGATAAACTATACAGCCACCTAGGGTGATTATCAAAGCAACAGTAACCTACAAAAGATTGCTGCTAGTGATAATTAGTTTTAAAGCCTGATGTACGCTTTTGTGTGAGCAAAAGGGCTCTCACAGCTTTTTAAGATCTGTAATAGAAATTACCATGGATACCAAACAGAAAGAATAGGATTTTAAAGTTGAGATCTTTTTGTAATACACCCCCAGATCTCAATTCAATAGTGCAGTTTTGAAATGTGCTAGAATGGAAGATTCATAAAGGGATGTTTTCAGCATCTTGTTGAATCTGTGGCACAAAGTATTAAAGAGTTCTAAAGCAAAAATACGTCTAAGTGTCACCCAATGAGAAGAAAGAGTCAAACTGGACTGTGAATACACAGAAGTGTGTGTATTTAGTGTGACGTAAAGGACTGTGATTGAAACCTTAAAATGATATTTGATATTTCGGCTGAGCTTAATCGAGTTTAAAGAATGCAACTCTAAGACCTTGAAAAAATCTTGATAATCTTAGGGAAATTTGGGGAGAATCTTGGCGAGATTTGTGGCAGTTAAAAGAAGAAATCATGCGGTTTCTTGTGCAGTATAGAAGGCTAAGTTGATTGTGACTTTGAATTCTGTTACATCAATACCCTTGATACTTGTGTCTCAGAGCTGATGACATGTAGCCTGAAGCTGAAGGCTTTGATTTATAGTGCACTAAGGCTCTGAATAGGAACACAAAGAATCTAACCTGAGAATTACAAATACTAAGATTAAAGGTGTTAAGATCAAGGTACACACCATGAAAACCGTGATTCATTCTTGTATCATGCTGTAAAAAAAAACTTTAATTTGTGAGAACAAAAGTTTGGATGCTTATTTTGTACATATCATGTTTTCGAAGTGACTTATGTTATCAATTACCTTCAAGCAAGCGAAATTTGTGCAATTACATACATGAGTTATTGTAGGAATATTTCTGCCAAATGAGAGACACTGTAGTATAATTGTAGTATAGATTATGGTAGTATTAGTTTGGCTTTAAATAAATTAATTTTTATGGTTATGGATTGAATTCTTTTTTCTGTTCTGATATTTATAAATGATTTCTTGTTGACTGAGGGAAACTATCATTTTCTTTTTCTGTAACATTAATACTGTTTTGTTTAATTTAGGGCTGTTTTTAGCCTGTTTAAGCAATTTTCTGAACGAAGTTGTAAAATGCAAATACAACAATGCGACTTGCATGTTTTTCTCTCTTATCTTTTCTTTCTTTCAATATTACATACGTACACTGTGAAATATTTTTCAAAACATTTGTTAAATGAAATTAGGGTGTTACAATTTTCTGAGCAATAGCATTTAAAATACGCAATCCAAATTATTGTGATAATTTTCAGAGTGTATATTAAGGCATTTTAATGTATATTTGCTTAAAGTCAGGTATTAAATATTTAAATACACTATTTAAATTTTTCATTTTAAAAGAAAAAAAAATCTAACGTACAAAGCAGGAGGTGTCTTGTATCATTTAGCTTCAAGAGAGTTTAAATATATCCAAAAGAATTTTTAAAAGAAATTTGAATATTCAAATTTGAACATTCAAATGAAATCAGAAAGCCAATTGTGTTCACACTGAAACTGATCTGTATTCAAATTAAATTGATTTAAAGGGCACCCATGATAAAAATCTTATTTTTTAAACTGTTTGGACAGAACTGTGTGCAGGTATAGTGTGTCTACTGTCATATTAGGGTGATATAAACACAATAAGTCTCTTTTTTTCAATTTCTTGACGTTAAAACAGGATCCAAATCTCTCCAATTTTGAGGCCCACTGCACCATGCACCATGCACCGTACCAGTGAGGTTTCCCCGCCCACTGAATTGATTGACAGCCACATATTAACATGTTTCCATAGTAACGCAAATATTAATATCAACAAGGCAACTGGGATTAAAAGATCTGTTCAGCTCTCTTTTATCATTAATCATCATCAAATGTGATCAAAAATGAGATTTACAAGTTTAAAACGTTTTTAAAACAGTGCTTGATTGTAATAAAGTAAAGACGGTAAAACCGCTGTAAGTCATTATCACAGCTGCATGTCAGTACAATTATAAATTGTATGCTTCAATCACGATTCATGGACGTTAAATCAGGTTTATTTTGTAGATGCAGTGGATGTTAACGTGTATCTTGTCACATTTGTGTGCAAAAACAGTGCAAAGTTAAATGCACGCTATGTACGTGTGTGAACTTTGTAATGACATTGAGTGTGACTCATCGTTGCTAGCTTACTAGATCATTTGCATTAAAGGCACAGGCAACAAAAACAGCTACTGTATAATGTTCAGAAAAGAAATTTGTAATATTTCAAAATGTATAATAAAGAATCTGACGGGTGTTTTGAGCTGAAACTTTAAAGACACATTCTCGAGACACAAAAGACTTTAATCTTGAATAAGGGGTAAAATAAGTTCCCTTTAAGCAAGCAAATTTGTATCAATACCCAGCACTAATTAAAAGAGAGAAAACAAAATATGTTTAAAAATGAATGTAAGAGAGAAAGCTTCTAGAAGACAGATTTCGATAGTGAGCAGATTTTTTTTTTTTACCTCAGCTGTAACAAGGAAAACATCCTCAGGGATGTGTCTCATTTCACAAGCAGTGACTCCCAGCCCCACTCCAGGGAACACATACGAGTTATTTCCCTGACCAGGGTAGAACTTCCTCCCATCGGGAAGAGTTACTGGATCAAAAGGACTTCCGCTTGCAAATATCCCCCTTCCCTGCAAAATAAGATACACAAACATGTGGATTCAAAAAATGTCATACTTTCACATTAATTTCTACAAGTGCCTTCTTCAACAGCACCTCAGTGAGTGTGTAGCACTGTTCAGCTGTACACTCAGCTTTGCTGGTGGGGTTGCTGAGAGCGAAGATAATAGGATTCTTATTGAAGGATGCCATGGACTTGATTATCTCTTCTGTGAAAGCGCCGGCAATTGCTGCCACCCCTAAGGACACGAGAAGCGATTGAGTTCTATTGCTCTCACTGGTATTGCTGGGACAACAACAGTACATATTTAACAAAACTATATACATACCAATTATAGCTGTGGGTTTCAGCTCCTTTACAACATCCTCAAGCTTTTTCATTTGTGCATGCTCATGTGCAAACCTCTCTTTCTCATGGGTGAGGTGATCTCGACCCTAAACGGGAGACAGAGGGATGACAATTGATGGACATAAAAGAAAAATATGATTAAAGGAATATTCCCCAGCTCTCTTCACAGATCCCTTTCACATGGAACAAAAAGCACATCGTTCACCAATAAAAAAGTAATTGTTCAGTGTATAAAATATATACTTAGGGTAATGTAAAATGCATAAGATATTGGATAAGATAAGCATGGGAATTGAGGTGCTGATAAAATGGAGGGCGTGTAGATGGCAGATAATCCAAAAGTGTGGTCAGAATACAGGCAAAAGGTCAGAGCAGGTGGCAAAACAACATAAACAATAAAACAAAGGTCAAAAACATGGCAAGGCAAGACAAGACAACACATGAAAAATGCTTCAGTAATGCTCACTTACAAATCACGAGCCTTAGCAAAGAAGTGTGCATGAGTACGTGAGTGCGTGTATGTGTGCGCTCTGTTTATAGTCCTGGTAGTCAGTCCATCATAAGCTTCCAGCTGTGTGTGTGTAATCAGGGGGAATCAGAAACTGGTGAGTGTAAGGTGCATGATGGAAGTTGTAGGTCATTAAAGTGGCAAATGTGTAGTTCTCCAGTGATATGCACAGGCTAGATTGCTGGTGATTGTAACATCTATACTTTCATTGCATAACAAACATAGATCAAGCCCTGATTGGAGGTTTTTAAAAGGTCAGTTCAGCAAAAAAAAAGGAAAATACTGCTTTTAATTTTTTTACCCTCACATTGTTTCAAACCCCTGAGACTTTTATTCATCTTCATAATACAAATTAAGATTTTTCAGATAAAATCCTACAACTCCCTTTTTAGTTTACTGCATGCAATATGTTTGCTTTTTATGCTGCTGACTCTAATGAAAATGCGTCACACTGACTATAGTAAATGCACATTCTTTTGACCTGATGCAGATGAGAAGATATACCCAACAACGTTTAGGTAATTTAGAAGTTTAGGTAAATTGAAACTGTGTCAGTCTAGTTTTCAGAGTTGTTGTTTAATTTAGTTCAGTGTTGTTTTAAATTTCACTGCAAATCCATCAATGTGCAACTCCACAAGTTCCAAACCAAGCAAGCCAGTGTCGACAATGGCTATGAGCAAACTTCACCAATTGAGGAAAGTGAAGGAAAAAAACCTTGAGAAAAACCAGGCTCAGTTGGGCATGACCATTTCTCCTCTAGCCAAACTTCTTAAGAGAGCTCTGGGATTTTTATCTAAAATACATTTATTTGTGTTCTGAAGATGAATGTTGGCCTTGGGGTTTGGGGACAATATGAGGTTGAGTAATTGAAGCATCAGGATGTGGACCTGTTTTTGTTAATCTTTTTTTGAACATGTCAGTGTTTATGAATCTTGTTATCTTGACAAACTATACATCAGTTTAAAGCTACAAGCCTCAGGGAGGGATTGTAGCTAATTGTTTTTCAATGGGAAGCTTGTAAAGAATGTATTTGCTAAATTTATAACCTGAATTTTCATTTCTTTAGTGAACTAACCTTTTAGTTTTAGTTTACACAGCTGAGTTCACTAAAAGCACAAAGCAAAAAATGTATTAAAGTTATTAAAGTTAATACATTTTGTGATTGATATAAGCATTATTAAGTTAAGAGTACTAATTAATTACAAATTCATTTTAATTATAGATTAAGAGAGTCTCAACTTTTTAGTGCTGGTGTAATTCCATCTTAATCTAAAATCACACACACACGCATGCACGCACGCACGCACGCACGCACGCACACACACACACACACACACACACACACACACACACTAAATGAACTAAATCAATAAAGCATCAAAAAGTCTAGATGAAAGTCTAGGACATGGGAATTGGTTTAATATTTCACTATCTAATAGAATTAATTTTACATTTGTTAAGTACGGCTTTTTAATAAAAAGTATAAACCAGAGTCCAATTAAAGTAAATAAATCCTACATTCTTATGATAGAAAACAATTGTACAGTATATGTTAGATCAACCAAATAAATAAATAAATAAATAAATAGGTGCAAAGAAACTAACAAGAAATTAACAAGACTTGAGAACCTTCAGAAATCATAAATAACTTTCATCACTATCCTGCCCTGGAGCAAGACTATTACTCTAAGGAGTTCAAAGACAAATAACACATATTGTATGCATAAAAATATTAACTTGTATGCAACAAAATTATCACATCCTCTCTGACCTCTTCATCATTAATAAACTAATCTGAGATAACGTGTTTTTATAGATGAAGACCTACAGTAATGTTCCTGTTTAATCCGTTTATTTAGTTAATCAACATAACTGAATAAGAAGAATAAATTTAAACACAAACTAAATAATGTGTTTAAACTTCACCTTTACTATAAGTCCTTTAGAGTCCACCATCCAGATTTTCTTTATACACTGCTCACGAGGAAGACCCTCTTTCTCCATTGCCATGACAATCAGCTCACCTATGCCCATTGCAGCCTAAAAACAATAACGTTACATATTATTAAAGATTGTAATGACAAACACTTTGTTAATGCTTTATTTTAAGTCATCATTTATGCTGTTTACTAATGGCTCATTACCTGAATGGTATTAGGATGTTAACTGTATATCAGTAGCTATAAAGTATGATTATTCTACATCCCTTATCCTACCCAATACCTAAACCCAACTATTTACTTACTAACAGTTAATAAGCAGCTAATTAGCAGCTCATTGAGCTAACAGACTAATTAGTTAATGTTTGTTAACAGCATAAAATGTGACTTAAATTTTTGTAGCACTTTTGTTTGCTAAATATATGTAAAGCATCATTGGAATGCTAGAACAAATTGCATTATATGCAGATTAACAACTGTACCTCGCCTGCACCCTGAAACACAATAGTATGGTCACACATTTTGCTTTTGGTAATGCGAAGGGCAGCTAGGAGGCCAGCCACAGCCACAGAAGCAGTGCCTACAGGACAAGAAACAAACACATGTCTCTCTAAACTCAGAGGTAAACAAAAAATATGCATAAAAGATGAGCTGAGCTGGGATTCAGCTCTGGAAGCTCATTAATTGCAGTCATTAAAATGGAGCTTATGTGAGACTGATTTCTGTAGGAACTGCCAAATGTTTGAAAAAAGCAGCTGCTTGTAGATTCTTACTCTGGTGAAGGTGGAAAAATGCACGTGAAAGTCTTGGGCAGGAGTGCAAGGGAGGCCAAAAACCAAAGTTGATTGAGGGTAGTGGGCTGAAGATACTGTATGTGTATTAAAAAGCTGCCATGGATAATTTCCTCATTTATTTCAAAATAAAAAGAAAACATTACTTTAATCATATTAACTAATGCATTAAATATTTTATTTTCATTTTATAATGGTTCTATTATAATAAAAATATGATTCCATAACACAATGGAATTTAATGCTGAATAGCCAAACTGCCTTTGCCTTGATTTGCTCACTGAGGACTTCTGGATTGTGGTCTATACGTTAAACAGCAGCATGTTCATTCAAAAATTGGATTTATTTACAACAATTATTTAAAACATTTGCTTTTTTTGTAGCTTAATAATGAAATGAACCAGTGAAAAGCTACATTAAATTAGAAATAACAATTTGTAATAAAGCCGTTAACCCAAACCCTTCCCAAAATTTTCCCTCTCTTCTGAGATGGGATGGTGGGCCAAATCAAAGGTTACTATGTGCAAACTTTGGCCCCTGGGTCATAGTTTGCACATCTCTGGTCTAGAGATCTCCCAATTGGGGTAAGCCTGTATGTGTGACTGTATTCTGTCAAGAGTGTCAGTGAAAAAAACAAACAAAAGCAGTTGGAGAACTGCAGAAACTTTATTTTTTAATGCCTCATTAATTTAAATAAATAAATTATTATTATTATATTTAATAAAAATCCAATCCAAATGAAACTAAAACTAACCTAAAAAAAGATTAATTAATAAATTGTGAATTAAGGCTAATAAACTATTTTAATATATATTTGTCATACTCTTATCATAGCTGCAGCGGAAATACCAGCAAAATCTTCTCAATACAGGATATTTGAATGAGAAAGGTTGACAGACACATTGTCAAAGGTTGACAGAAAAGGTTGACTAGACACATTCAGAAAATTTGGTAACTATCTGAAATATGAAATGAGCACAGAATCCAAAAGAAAACCCAATACCAACAGATCCCACATAGAATACATTGCTCAGTTTGGTTCGCTCCACTCTGGTGGACACATTCAATATGATTAACTGTGTGAACAGTGAGATTAACATAACATGTTCCAGCCAAAGGAGATGGAAAGTGTATTCAGTATAAACAGCCAGACTTGCAATTAAGATAAAAATACAAAAAGAATTTAAGCAACACTTTTTAACTGGCCTAAGTCACAGGTGTCAAACTTAGTTTCTGGAGGCCCGCAGCTCTGCACAGTTTAGCTTTAACCCTAATTAAACACATCTGATCAATCTAATTGAGCCCTTCAGGCTTGTTTGAACATGCTGTGTGTTAAAGCAGAGTTAAACTCTGCAGGTCTGCAGCCTTCAGCAACTAAGTTTGATGCCTCCTGCCTAAATCTACTGCATTTAAAAATATTTTTATACAGAAGAAACTTAAAAACAAGTGTGCGACTGAAGTGTCCATACCTTGGATGTCATCATTGAATGTGAGGTATTTGTTGCGGTATTTACTCAACAGGCGGAAGGCATTAATGTTGGCAAAATCCTCAAACTGAATAAGGCATTTCATCCCATACCTGTTAACAACAAAAGCATTAATAAACAGTATTATTTCTTCAGAACTCAGTAAACACAATAACAAAACTAAAGTTTACAATTATTTATGTACCATAAGTACAAAGAATCCTTATAAAATGAGCATTGAAATGGTCTGAATCCTTGCAATCTAGTCTAAATACTCAAATAACGCAATGTCATCTCTTATAAAGGAGCTAGCTAAAGGGATAGTTCACCCCAATATAAAAAATCATCATGTTTAAAATCTATTTGAGTTTCTTTCTTCCGTTATACCATGATGCTGGTTGCTGGGGCACATCGATTTCCATAGTAGTTTTTATTCTATTATGGAAGTTGATGTGTATATGTTTTCGTGTTTTTAACAGAAGAAAACACATGAGGGAGAGTAAATGATAAATAAGAGTAAATGATAAATGATTTCGTTTTTGGGAGAACTATCCCTTTACATGCACATCTCTTCATCCTGCAGAGGGGGCCATTCAACTGCTCCTGGAGCCCATCACAGATGGGGTGGATCTGGGTGTTCAGAAATTAGTTTTTTTCTTCTTTTTAGTGTGGACCTGACACTGTTACTGCTGCTTTATAGTTGTTTCCACAGCCAAACACAATTCTCAATGGCCAGAAAAGCAAATAACTCCTCTATGGTCAGTTAGCAAATGATATGGTAACACCTTGACCTCTGATTCTCTCAAGGAAACACTGAGAATGGAAACATACAAAATCTATTCACAATCAACAGCAAATTAACTGCACACCCACAAATGACATCTCACTTTAAACTCATGAGAAAAAAAGAACGATTTACTGCTGAATGGATTCAGAATAATTGAAAGAACAGAACAATCAAATGATATCCCAAAATGCCCATCATCTTTTGATACAATATTCAAGGTTGCAGACACCCAAACACTGGAAACAGGCTGGGTAAACACTGCACTGTAGCACCATGGAGAGTCAGCCTGTCATTCAAACCAATGCAGAAGTGGAAGATCTGCATGTCTGCCTAGAGCTGTTGTGTATACATATCACTCAAACACACACAAGGGAAATGGCTTACTGTTTTCATAATGACAGTTGTCTCCTGAAGAATCTATTCGTTTCTCTATTTTTGTCAACAGAGTGATGAATAGAGGAGTACAAAGTTTACAACTACAAAAGATACTAAAGACAAAGTATCTTTTCACTGCATGCACGATTTCCAGATCGTCTGAAATAAAATCTAGGTAACACTTTACAATGAGATTCCATTAATGTGTACATGCTAACATGAAAAAAAAACAAAGAACTATATTCATTCATTCATTCATTCATTCATTTTCTTCTTGGCCTAGTCCCTTTATTAATCTCGGGTTGCTTTAGTGGAATGAACCGCCATTTTATAAAGCATACTGTATGTTCCCAACCCATCACAGGGAAACATCCATACACACTCTTTCACACACATACTGTACACTACGAATAATTTAACCTACCCAATTTACCTATACCACATATCGTTGGACTTGTGGGGGGAACCGGAGCACCTGGAGGAAACCTACGCAAATACGGGAAGAACATGCAAACTCTAGACGCCCTTAAGAACTATACTACAATATTTATTATTTATTTGTTAAATAATGATAGTTTTAAAAAAAAGTCATTTGTTTTGTTCTTATTAACTCAAGCACAACTTTGGATTTAAATAACTCATTAGTATGTATTACTATAATTAATAAAGGTATTTATTAAGTATTATTGTTTATTGGCTATTATTGTTTATTGTTAGTTCATGTCGCAATATATTACCTAACATTAACTAATGGAACCTAAATGTAAAGTGTGACCAAATTTTTTTCTAAAATTGAGTCAATTCAGTGACAGGAACAACACAATATTAGGTCAAGTATGGACATTTTCTATTTGAATACAGTAAAGCTGCAGAACAATCTATTGTAAAAAAATGTAGCAGATCTGGCCCAATCATATGGTCATCACACATATCTGTATCCCAATAAATGGGTAAATTCTTTCTTTTTTAAATTTATACAGCATTAAAAAACTTCTATCATTTACTTCTAACTCCTCACTCATAGTCAGTTAGACAGTCAGTCCCACCAGCCACTTTGGCTGGTTGAAGATCATTTTTAAATAGTAGTTTTCTTAAAACACAGAGTTCAGCAACAAGGATTGAATAATAAGGCAACAGCATGAGAAATGACAATAATAACTGTGTTCACTGGAGCAAAAGAAAGCAGATGAAAACTGAATGAGAGAATCATCGCGCACACTGTGAGACAGGCGATCCTGACGCACTTACGTGGGCTTCAGTGTCAAGGCTGATTTCAGGTGATGTGATGCTCATAAGTGTTTGAAAGTTTCAAAAAGAAACGGTTTCTTGCGCAAAGAATCCCTTTTTGGAAACATAACTGGTGCGATCGGTTCTCTTTTTAAATAAAATGGACAAAAAGCGATGCTCGTGCACCCGTAGTTCTGCACCTTTCAAAAGCTCCAGATTTTTTAAAAGTCTTTTTGTAAGCAGCAGGTTGCTTTCACTTTAACCTTTTATTTCACCATCCTTTCATTATTGCACACGGTATGTTTTACACCTGCGTTCTTTTGCTTACATTGGGCAAAGAATTACTGTTACTGTTTTTTTTTTTGTTTTTTTTTGGTTGGGCTATAGAAAAATCGGATAAATTCTTGAGGCCTTTATGCATATAAAATATAAAATCTCAACAACAAAATTGTGGCTAGTGAAAATGCCACGTGGCAAATATACCTTGCAAAAGTATATATTAGAACCTAAAAATTTTAAGAGGAAAACTTTTGTGCTTTTTAGATACTAATATGTACCCTTGAGATAATAATATGGACCTTTACCACCACAGTGACAGCTGGCATGCCTTTATATCTGAGAGTGTATAAAAATATATATATTTTGGGTGATATATTTGGGTGAATTATCTCCTGAACTATTAGTATGAGGCATCACTAAAAAAATAACAACCAGTTATGATTGTTTCTCAAAAACAATAACTTTCTGGGGCTTCTGTTGGTTCAGTACCAGAACTGTAATTAATCACTAGAAATGCAATAAAGAAGTAGTCATTATCAGATTATTGCAGTGAAAATAATAACATGGCATCTGAGGACTACTTTTTTGTTTTCTGCTCTGTTTTTTTATTTATTTGTTTATTTATTTCAGAAATATTTTATTCAATTCTGGCTTACTGTTGCATTAGCTTAACCACACATGTGCTCTCTTCAAAAACAACACCTCCAGGCAGTTGGCAGTCAACTAAGAAGAAGGACTTGTTTACCAACTGGTCATCACTACTTTTCATATGGACTAGCAAAGCAGAGCACTTTGGATGTCAAGATCTGATCTTGACATAAAGGGAAAGTTCAACCAAAAATGTTTATTAAATATTTACTCATACTGAAGTGGTGTTAAACTTTTATGATTTTTTTATTCTTTTGAACACAAAACAAGATTTCCTGAGGCTATTTTCTGATGTTGAAAAAGCAACCATTGAACACCCATAGGAACAAAAAACACTATGGATGTCAATGGCTTTTTTTCTTCATGTTTTTGTCCTTATTTGTGTTCAACAGAAGAAAAGAAACTCAAACAGGTTTGCAGCAAGTGGAGGATGAGAAAATTATTACAATTTTTTTTTTTTTAATGAAATATCACTTTATTCTCACTTTAAGCCACTGACACTGAATAAAGCATATGGAAAATGCCAATGGTGCTTAAAATTGAGTGCTCACAATATTCTTTAGAACTGAACATTTCAATTCATAATTGTTTACAACAACTTAAGCCTGAGCAAATACAGAGAAAGTTGACTTAAGTTGATAATGCTTGAAGTGAAACAGTGTTGTGCAAAGTCAGTGTTGTGTGGTCAGACATGCTAAAAAAATGACATCAAATCTCCAGTGACTTTCCAGTAACAAATCACTTGATCTCAATTTCATCTAACATTTTTAATAAACCCCTGTCCTGAATGAAACTGCAGTTTAAACTCTGACATATCTGCTGCACAAAGCAGGAAAGCAGTCAAGAGAGACTAGCAGAGTAATAGCTCATGGATCTGGAGGAGAACTTGAGCAGATATAAATAGGTCGTAGAGAAAGTGAGTCATCTTGCTCTCTGATCTGCTCTAGTGCATGATCTGAGGCTGAAGATGAAAAAAAAAACTTTGTTAACCAAAAGCCATTTAATATTTTACTGGTTGAGTTTAACTATGGATCATGCTGCTGTTTAATTTTGGATAAATGTGCATGGGAGAGAAACAGCAACTAGCTGACAAAAAGTGTCCATTCGGTGCATTGTGTTCTCATTCTCACTAAAGCTTGTTGTCTTTCTCTGGCGCCTCGATGAATGAGATCCATAATGCACCTCTGCGTCTGTTGTAAAACTTAAACAAAGAGCTGGCCGGGGGATCAGCTTTACTGGTCCTCTCCACCAAAAAAAAATTAGGCCAGACAATGACAGACACACCCAAACACATTGAGAGCTCCAGGAACTTTGTCTCTCCTTATTTGCCTTTACCTCCAGACAGAAGCAGAAAGCGTTGGGGTGTTGAGAGAAGCTCTTTGAGCCAATATTAAATCAACTCAGTGCTCTGGAACAGCTGTGCTATGCTTTTTAGAAACAGTAAAAGTCTGAAAAACATCTTTCATTGGTATTGTCCTAAGAATCCTCTCAGTAAACAAATCAACATCTGCGAATGGGACAACTTTAGGCTGGAATGAGAACTTCAGAAATTGCCTTTCCAGCTTCAGTTGCTGCACTTCCCTTGACCCTCTTTTGGAAAATGCTGTAGTGAACACACACACCTGCTGATCAAGTCATAACTAAACAAATCCAAGTAAATTTGATGCATTCTTCATCTTAATAGATAAATTAGTCATGACAAAGAATGACATTACCCCTTTGCTATTTAGATTTTTTTAAAGTGTTTTTAGTAGCATTAGTGTATTAATAGGATTCTAAGAGGATGGATAGTATAATATATTTATTACTTTTATTTAAAAATAATATTTTAAAGCTCTTACACTCACCGGTCACTTTATTAGGTACACCTGTCCAACTGTTTGTTAAAGCAATATTAATCAGCTAATCACATGGCAGCAGTTCAAGGCATTTAGACATGTAGACATGGCCAAGACGATCTGCTGCAGTGTAAACAGAGCATCAGAATGGGGAAGAAAGGTGATTTAAGTGACTTTGAACATGACATGATTGTTGGTGCCAGACGGGCTGGTCTAAGTATTTCAGAAACTGCTGATCTACTGCTATTATGATGCACAACCATCTCAA